ATCACAAGGGCTACGTCTACACTGGCCCCTTCTTCGGAAGGGGCATGCTAATTTTGAACTTGGGAATAGGGAAATCCGCGGGGGATTTAAATATCCCCCGCGGGATTTAAATAAACATGGCCATGGCCGCCGCTTTTTTTCCGACTTGGGGAAAAGCCGGAAAAAAGCGTCTAGACTGGCGCGATCCTCCGGAATAAAGCCCTTTTCCGGAGGATCTCTTATTCCTACTTCAAACTAGGAATAAGAGATCCTCCGGAAAAGGGCTTTATTCCGGAGGATCGCGCCAGTCTAGACGCTTTTTTCCGGCTTTTCCCCAAGTCGGAAAAAAAGCGGCGGCCATGTTTATTTAAATCCCGCAGGGGGATATTTAAATCCCCCGCAGATTTCCCTATTCCCAAGTTCAAAATTAGCATGCCGCTTCCGAAGAAGGGGCCAGTGTAGACGTAGCCAAGGGGTTTGGAGGGTGGCCCAGTGAAAGGTCTAATCTGAGGTTCCATTGTGGGTCTGGGTTCCAAACCTGCGGATAGAACCTCTGAGGCCCTGCAGAAACCTCACCATTATGTCATGGGAGAAAACCATTTGACCTAGGATCAGCTCACAAAGAGCAGAGGTGGCTGAAAGGTGCTTTTGGAGAAATGTGCCAAACCCTCGTTCCTTTGCTGCAGTAAGTAATCCATGATGACCTGGACCAGAAAATGTCCCTTCGAGATCCTGCACTCCAAAGCCCAAAGAGAGCACCTTGTCCATTTCACCTGGTATGTTAGACTTGTAGATGGCTTCCTGCTGCCTAGAACCTGCTGGACCTTTTCTGAACAAGTATGCTCCTCTGAGTTCAACCATGGAGCATCCACACCAACAAGTGCAGGGATGCAAGGCTGGGATACAGAAGCCCATCAGGACCCTGTAAAAAGAGGTGCGGACAATTTGGAAGGGGCATAGGAGGGTATTGCATAATGCTCATGAGCATGAAAAACCAGTGCTGGCAGGGTCACACTGGAGCAATCACGATCACTTGAGCCTTATCTTGTTTGATCCACTGTAAGACAAGAGGAATTTGCAGAAATACGTACAGCAGGACCTCAGACCATGACAGGAGAAATACTTCAGAGAGACAGAGCCCATTCCCAGTCCACTGGTGACACTGTTTTGCTTGGTGGCAAACAGGCCCGCTAGGGGAAATCCCTACCTTTGGAAGATTGTGCCAGCCACCTCTAAAACTTCTAAATGGAGTGACCACTCATGGTGAGAAGTCCCTGCTGAGGCAATCTGCCAAAGCACTGTCAACATCCAGGACACAACAGGCCCCCAAGATGGACATTCTGACAGATGCAGAAGTCCCAGAGAAGGAGTGCTTCCTGGCATAAGGGTTAACAAGTGTGCCCCTCCCTGCCTATTGAGGTAGAACATGGAGGCTATATTGTCCATGAAAATTTGCACCACTTTGCCTGACACAGGGAGACCTTGCAGGCGAGATGAACAGCTGTGAGTTCTTTGACATTAATGTCGAGCCATATCCCTTCCAGGATTCACATTCCCTGGGTCAGGAGATCGCTGAGGTGCAAGCCCCAGCTGAGATCTGAGGCATCCAACCTCAGTTTGAGAGAGCTGGGGCATCAAACAGGATTTACTCTAGAGCATTGATTGGAATTGTACAATGCCATAGGGTGGTATGTATTTGCAGAGGAATTGTGATCACTTTGTCCATGGGGTTAAGTCTACTCTAGGGGTTAAGTTCCAATTAAGATATGCAACTCCAGCTACATTAATTGCATAGCTTGAGTTGAAATATCTTAAATCAAATTTTGGCACTGTCCACACTGCAGGAAGTCGAAAGGAACACACTCTCTCTTCGACTTCCCTTACTTCTTGTAGAAGGACAACTGGCATCGATGGGAGCACCCTCTCAGTTTGAATTAGTATGTCTTCACTAGACCCACTAATTCAAACCACCAAAAGATCGACTGCAGCTACTTTGATCTTCTCTGTAGGGTAGACATGGCCTGTGGTACCGAGACAGAGTAAACCAATGCCAGCCACTCCAGGAGCAGCTGCATGGTGAACAATGTATGTACCTACTGCCATATGGCCCAGAACACACAGGCAGATCCTGGCTGTGGTAAAACGCCAAGGCCATGAGGTTTCTCAAGGCTTGGAATCTGTCTGGGGGGAAGTAGGCCTTTACAAAGGATGAGTGGAGTACCACCCTGATGAATTCTATCTTTTAGAGTGTTACTAATGTGGACTTTCTTGATTAGGAGCACCAAGGACTGGCAGGTTGCTAAGAGGATGGCTACGTTGCTTTGGACATGGGGCCTGGAACTTTCCTTGACCAACCAGCTGTCCAGGTAAGGATAAGTCTGGATACCCCAATACCTAAGGTAGGCTGCCACTACCTCCATACACTTGGCAGTGAGGCCAGCACAAAGAGGAGGACCATAAAGTGTTACTGGGTGGACCTCACTATAAAGTAAAGGAATGCCTGTGACCAAGGAAGATTGCCATGTGGAAGTAGAAGTCCTTCTGGTCAAGAGCAGCATGCTAGTCTCCTGGTAGCCATGTGAAACTTAAGGCCTCTCAGGTGCAAGATGGTCTGCAAACCTCCCTTGGTCTTTGTGATTAGAAAATATCTGGAATAGATCCCCTGTTCCAATATTGGGTGGAACCTCTTCCACTGCCCCCCAACCACAACAGCTCCTGAACCTCCCAGGAGAGTAGACTCATGAGAATGGTCCCTGAAGAGGAACGGGGAGTGGAGTGGGTAAGAGAGAAAGGAATTGGAGGGTATAACCCTGGGAGATAGTGATCAGGATGCTATAGTTTAAATTTATGGAAGCCCGGGTCAGGAAGAAATGGGAAAGGCAGTTGCCAAGCAGGGGGGAGGAGGAAAGGAGGAACTGGTTTCATATGGATGTCTGATATTGTCCTCAGGCACACCGTCAAAATTGTTTCTTTGCCCCTTGCTTGGGGCAGATCAAGCCTGACAGGGCTGGAACAGAGGGCTTACTGTCAGCACTTGTAGCTCTTGATCTGCTTGGTAGGAGGCTCCTGGCATGGTTGGTAACCCTGACTGGTAGAGTGTGGAGGCTTGAACCGCTTTCAAATAGAGAAAGAACATACAACCCCAGAGTCTTAAGCATAATGTAGTCTCCCTTAATCTCTTGTGACTTTGAGCCTATCTGTTCAGAAAGCAGAACACAGCTGTCAAATAAGGGGTCCTAGTGAGAGTGTTGCACCTCTGACAGACTGGAGAAGAGTAGCCAAGAAGCCTGATGCATTGAAATGACCAATGCCATTGTGAGAGTAGCGGAATCCAATGCATCAGAAGCTGCCTGCAGGACTGCTTTGGCCACTGCTGCTCCCTCTTTCAGTACAGCTTTGAACTCCTTCCCAGAATACTCTCAGAGCACCTCCTCAAACTTAGTCATAGCTCTCCAGGTGTCCAGCAAGAGATGCCAACCTGAGAGGACCTGTCACAATGGGACAAATCTCTGTCTCAGGCCCTTGAAGCATTGTGTAATCTGGCAGACCGGCAACGAGAACCCAGCAATACATAACTCCCAAAATTCACATGCACCAGGATACAGGGCAGGATCTGGATCAGGAGTGGGAGCTGTGATCCAAAGACTTCTCAACCAGGAAGACAGACATGATGAAGATCGGTGACTGCATGACGAAGACCTTAATGGACCAAGCTGTCTTGGAAGTAGGACCAAGATCTTCGGGTAATGGGAATCCCATGCTCATTGGAGCTCTGATCGATGTTGCCCCTGTGCCCAGAAGTGGAGAACTAGAATTGCGCTCATGAAGCCCACCTCCCATTATCCAAGGCATGAAGGCTGTATGTTGGAGAGTGCTGGCAGGATGGTACTTTGGAAGAAGATGCCTGTACTGGGTCCAACATGGGCTTGCCCCTGGAACATGTTACAGCCTGAACAGGTGCTACTGGCACTGACAGAGTCAAGATGTGCTGCGCTGCCCAAAAAGGCCTCCAGTGTAGATGTTTTTAATATGTGCTGGAGGCCTTCATTGCTACTTGGAGTTGCCAGAGTGGAATGGGAAGGGGTTGGCTGCTCTTCCTGAGCCAGCACCAGTTACCTGAGGAGGCTGATGAGCTGCCCATCATGAGTCTGAGCTCTCCACCCCACATCTTCCCCTTGCAGGATATCGGGGAGTGCCCCCTCACCAGCATCTTTGCCATCCGTGACCGGGACTGCCAGGGGGAATGATGCTGACTTGGTGGAGGCACTGATGGAGTGCCCTGTATGGAGATCATGGCACTCAAGGTCTAGGCCCAACTGATCTCCAATGCCAAGTCTAGTGCTGATCTCATTAAGAGCACTTTGAGGTAAATGTCCCTTTCTGTTTCTGTATGAGGCTTGAATAACTTTCAAACGTGTCACTTATTGCTAATGTGCCCGTCACTTAAGCACTTCAGGCTGCTGCTATGCAGATCATTAACCAACATAGGATGCTGGCATTCTAAACATGGGTTAAAACCTGGGGATTGAGGTATGTCCCATCCCTAGGCTAACTCCCATCTAGGACGCTAAATTAGTTGACTAACAACTAATAACCAGCACAATCTACACAAAGCTAACTGCTTTTGCAGCAAAAATTAAGCTGCCCAAAGCACAGCTGTTCCAATGCACCATCCCTGGCAACAAGAACTGATGGGAAGGGAGAAAGTCTGAAGCACACCTTATGCTGTGCCATGTAAGCACTACTTGCAGAGGCTGCTAGGGCTGCTCTACTACAGATACTGCTGAGGGAATAACTTCTGGCACAGGTGCACATGGCAAATACATAGACCTACTGTGGAATGGACACTTGCAAGCACTCAAAGAAAAGATATTTCCTTTTTATAGTGTTAAGAAGCCATTAATAGTAACACAAACCACAATGGCTAGACAAAAAGACTATAAAAAACTCTATTACTATCAAGCTTTGTTCTTTTGTGTCAGTGTTAAACATCCACAATTAAAACAAGAAAAAAAAATTACCTGCTGCATTCAACTGATCTGCAAGGTCATATAACAATTTGAAGTTGTCACCACTCTTCAAACCTCGTCCTTAAAAAGGTAAAAAAGGAAGGAGACATTCAATATTCTGAATAAATACCTTGTAATAGAGAACCTATGCATATTCAGAGAGGCACTTATGGATTTTTTCCTATGTACTTTTAATGTTACTCAATATTTTTAGCATCTTGAAAAAAATTAAATTCATACAGATTTTGTTGTGTTTCCTTGATTAACATGTGGTTATTTCTTATTCATGCATCAATATTGCCCTGTCTGGTTTGCTTCCTTATTTGTGAGCAGCATAATCAATTCTCTCTCAAATGTGGGAACAGGATTTGTTGTCAATTTGTGCTCCCTCTACTGGCTCTAGTTCAGTGATCCCCAACGCGGTGCCCGCGGGCGCCATGGCGCCCGCCGGGGCATTTGTGTGCGCCCACCAACAACCTGGGCTGGCCCCACCCCCAGCGCATGGCACACTGGAGGC